TTATATTCCTCCTAGAGCCGTTGTTAATCAAAAACAACTTGCAGATATATGTTCGGTACTTCCTGCTCCACGGTTGATCATGGGAGATTTCAATTCCCACGGTACAGGCTGGGGGGAACTGTATAATAACAACCGTTCTACTTTGATATATTACCTCTGTGACATCTTCAATATGACAATTCTTAATAATGGAGAAGTAACACGTTTGGCTGGTCCATCCTCAAATGGAAGTAAATTAGACCTAACACTTTGCTCTAACTCATTATCGTTGGATTGCACGTGGAATGTGATCCAGGATCCCCACGGTAGTGATCACTTGCCGATCAAAATTTCGATTGCCAGTGGGTTCAATCCGTCGGAATCCGTTAACGTCGCGTACGACCTCACCCGTAATATCGATTGGACAACGTTCAAGACCGCGATAGAGGAAGCCGTGTCGTCGGTAGAAGGGCTTCCACCGTTGGAGGAATATAACTTCCTCTCCAATCTGATCTTGGACAGCGCGCTTCGAGCTCAAACTCGGCCGGTTCCTGGAACGTCTTTCCGTAGGAAACCTCCTTCCCCTTGGTGGGACCAGCAATGCACAGAGGTTTATCGAAAAAAGTCCGACGCGTTTAAGCTTTTCCGGAGACGTGGAACACCCGTGCATTTCGAAGCGTACTCGGCTCTTGAACGCGAACTCAAGAGCCTCATAAAAGCTAAAAACGCGGATACTGGCGGCAATTCGTGAACGGATTATCGCGCGAAACGTCGATGAATACGCTTTGGAACGCGGCGCGAAGGATGCGTAACCGGTCTTCGAACAACGAGAGCGAGGAGTACTCGGATAGTTGGATTCTCAAGTTCGCGCGAAAAGTATGTCCTGATTCTGTGCCGGCACAGATGATTCCTCGCGAAACGACGAATTCGGTAGACGAGATCAGCCAGCCTTTTTCAATGCTGGAGCTCTCACTCGTGCTCCTTTCGTGTGGCAATTCGGCTCCGGGGGCTGATAGAATCAAGTTCAACTTGTTGAAGAACCTCCAAGACGTCGCTAAGAGGCGCATGTTGAACTTGTTTGGTCAGTTCCTGGAGCTTAATATTGTTCCGGATGATTGGAGGCGGGTGAGAGTTATAGCCATTAAAAAGCCTGGAAAACCCGCGTCAGATCACAACTCGTATCGTCCCATCGCGATGTTATCGTGCATTCGAAAATTGTTGGAGAAAATGATCCTTTTTCGCTTGGACAAATGGGTTGAGACGAACCACCTACTCTCAGATACTCAATTTGGATTCCGTAGGGGCAAGGGAACGAACGACTGTATCGCGTTGCTTTCCACAGAAATTCAGTTGGCTTTTGCTAAAAAAGAGCAAATGGCTTCTGTCTTCTTGGATATTAAGGGGGCTTTTGATTTACTATCGGTTGAAGTCCTTTCAGACAAACTCCACGCTTGTGGCCTTTCTCCATTAATTAATAACTTTTTGTACAATTTACTGTCAGAGAAATATATGAGCTTTTCTCATGGAAACTCTACAGCTTCACGATTTAGTTACATGGGTCTCCCCCAGGGCTCATGTTTAAGCCACCTTTTGTATAATTTCTACGTCAGAGAAATTGACAATTGTCTAAGCGACAACTGCCCGTTGAGACAATTTGCAGATGACGGCGTAGTGTCTATGACAGGGCCCAAAGGGGTCAACCTGCAAGGACCCTTACAGGATACCTTAGACAATTTGTCTACTTGGGCTATTCAGCTAGGTATCGAATTCTCCACGGAGAAAACTGAGTTGGTCGATTTTTCTAGGAAGCATAGCCCAGCACAACCAAAGCTTCAACTTTTGGGTAAACCGATCACTCATTCTATGGCCTTCAAATATCTTGGAGTCTGGTTCGATTCAAAATGCACCTGGAGATCCCACATTGAGTATCTGAAGCGGAAATGCCAACAAAGGATGAATTTTCACCGAACAATTACCGGAAAGAGGTGGGGAGCCCATCCGCAAGATTTTCTAACGTTGTATGTACCAGACAACGATTTTATCGGTTTTAGAGTACGGTAGTTTCTGCTTCCAGTCGGCGGCTAAAACGCACATCATCAAACTGGAACGGATCCAGTATCGCTGTCTTCGTATCGCGTTAGGATGCATGCACTCGACTCATACGATGAGTCTCGAAGTGTTAGCGGGCATGTTGCCACTCTCTGATCGGTTTTCGGAATTGTCCCTCAGGCTCCTCACCCGTTGTGAAGTTATGAACTCAATGGTGATTGCAAACTTTGAGGAGCTTCTTGAGCTAAACCCTCAAAATCGTTTTATGTCATTGTACTACTTGTACATAACAAAGTATGTCAGCCCTTTCCAGCATAATCCCTATCGTGTTTGCTTCTCCGACTTCGGCAATTCTGTTCGCGGAATCCCAGAGCATCATCGTTCCATGATTGTTCCGTCAATTTTCGCTGCAAAGTTTGGCCAAGTTGATTCCGCAAGATCGTTCTTCACAGATGGATCACTAATAGAGGCGTCCGCTGGTTTTGGTATTTTTAACGAATTTCATAGCGCCTCTCGAATGCTTCAAGCTCCTTGTTCCGTATATGTTGCTGAGCTGGCGGCAATACATTATACGCTAGAAACGATCGCCTCACTTGCACCAGATCATTATTTTATTTTTACGGATAGTCTCAGTTCTGTCGAGGCTATTCGATCCATGAGGCCGGTAAAGCACTCCTCGTATTTTCTCATGAAAATACGAGAGCTTCTGAGTGCTTTATCTTTAAGATCTTTTGTCATCACCTTTGCATGGGTCCCATCTCATTGCTCGATTCCGGGCAATGAGATGGCTGACTCACTTGCTAAGGTGGGCGCTATGGAAGGCGATATTTACGATCGACAAATCGCCTACGATGAATTTTTCTTCATTTATCGTCAACAGTCACTCGTCAGCTGGCAGAATAAGTGGAGTGAAGGGAGTTTGGGACGATGGCTATATTCGATCATCCCTAAGGTGTCGAAGAGTTCTTGGTTCAAGGGGTTGGAGGTGGGTCGAGACTTCATTCGTGTGATGTCTCGCCTCATGTCCAATCACTATTCACTAAGCGCTCACTTGTTCCGTGTTGGGCTGGGGGACAGTAATCTCTGTGAATGTGGACAAGGTTACCAGGACGTCGATCACATTATTTGGTCATGTGCTGAGCACCGTGGAGTCAGATCCGAGTTGTACGATTCCCTTCGGGCTCGAGGTAGACAACCTAATGTCCCAGTTTGGGATATTTTGGCTAGACGCGATCTGGAGTTTATGCAAATCATATATGTTTTCTTTAGGAATATTAACCATAGATTGTAAGTTTGATTAACCTTGTATTAATTTGTATTTTGTGTGTCTGTTTTTTTTTTGTATATTTGTTTCTGTAATAATTGTATAATTACAGAGTTGATATAACGTCAATTGGCTTAAGTATATGTTTTAGAAATAGTGAAATTTTTTAATCATAAATCATATTCCAAATCTCCTTTTCTCTCCACCGATCCAAACAATTGTCATCCACTAGCCTCTGAAGACCGCGAGTAATCGGTCAAATCCTTTAATTTTAGATTTAAGACATTTATAATGGATAAAGAAAATGGTAACTTGGCTCTGTATAGTTTATTCGATTGAGCCTGTACAAATAAAGTAATTAAAAAAAAATAAAAGGTGGATTTTGGTCATTGTGGTTCTTACGTCAACTATCCAATCATGGGCAGAATACACTTCCCTGAGGCATACAACAGTTATAATATTTTTGATTTGCCGACATATGCGGTTAAATAAATCAATGGTAAATGTAACTTTTCAAATAGGTATCTTTCTCAATTCAGCAAAACGTTATATTTGCGGAACATTTTTCGAGGTAAAACCGAGAGTGATATAAATGGAGTGTGCAAAAACGAACCGTGATAAAACCAATACTCCACTGTATATGTTTCACGCGTAGGTGTTTCGTACAACAAAAAAAATGAAAACAAGCACAGAAGCAGATCAATACCAGCGCACACATGTCGTCCACACCTTTACAAATATCAGCTGAGAGTGTGTGTAGGTGGGTGCACTGCTCCTCTGCTTCTGTGAGTGGATGGATGTCGTAATCAATTTGTGTAACCCCAAAAACAACTGCAACACGCCGGACATGCGGGGACCAACAAAAGTGTATTCGTCTGTTCGTTGGTTTTTCGTTCGTTGCATTTCGAAGTGAGGGACGTTTATGCTGTGGAAGTGGCGTCACTCACAGATAAGGACGGGTGAGGTGGAATGTTGAAAGTGTCGGAAATAATGAGATGGAATTTCATTATGTAGCTTAGATTGATTGACGGAGGTCATGGTTTGTAGATTTATTACGAAAGAAGGAGAACCGACAGTTGAAATAGGAATCTGTTCTGAGAAAAGTGCAAATATCTGAAAGCTGTTGGACAGATATTGCAGGGAACTCATCCGACGCCCTCATCCATGAATCATCCGATGCTGAAAACATCCATCCTAATTCATTCATAAAAACCTCCACACAAAGAAGCTCCATCCTTTCCCCAGTGGGCGGCGAGCGTAATGATTTGCATTATTCAAAAAAACCTAACAACCTTTCAAAACCACCCACAACCGATCATGTTTTGTTTTCCGCCAGTACTTGCTCCGGGTGGAAAAAAGTTTCCAACAATTTTCATCGCATCGTTTTCGGGACGGACGTGACTCGTGGGCGGGGACAGTGCGGGGGCGGCAAAGTTTTCGCAAGCTCTCTCCACTGCACTCCATCGCTCCTTAGGTGGGCTAATGTAATCAACATAATGTGACAGCGGCTCACGGCCAATAAGGGGAGCGGGGGTGACGGAAATTCTGGAGAAAAAAAAGTTAGATAAAATGATACTTCTGTGCCCAGATAAACGTAGAGATTTTCGGAATTTATTACGCCTTTAATGGCAGTCGCGTAGACGCGGTGTCTGCTGGGTTTTTGCTTAGAATGCTAATGATGGTCTCTCTTTTCATCTCTCGTTTGCAGGTCGTTTTCGACGATGGAAAGTTTGGTGTAATATAAAATTGATAAAATCAGCATTAAATTCTTAAAAGTGTTCCCGAAAATTTGAAGATAAGGTTTAAATAGTTTACCACATTAAGGTAGAGTTGCCATACTAGAATTCAGTGTTACTTATTGGAAGATTTAATTCGATATATAAAATAGTTTATCCCCAAGCTGGTAGCAAGTTAATCATTGCGTAGTTAAATCCGAGTCTCTTATCTCGAAAGTTAGAAGTGTTACACAAATCATTAAATTCCACTGCCTCTTCGACGTTCAAGAAAATCGGAAGATAATTTCAAATTAAATCGCTACAAAAAAAAGAAATCAATACCCAATAAAACCGCTGTGTTCAGCGCGGAAATCACCCGTTTTGGATCTTTTGGAGAATCAGGACGCGTCAAGATGAGAAGTCAACGCCGAACTAAGCAAGGTAAGTTCGATTCCATCGTTTATCATGGTATCATGATCCAATTTCCAACGACTACTGGAGACTTAATCAAATCAATCATACGCCTCTATGATGGGGGTTTCAAGAAGGGGGAGATAGGGGACCAATCGTCTGAGTCGTGTTTGATGAGCCAAGCGAGTGCTGTCTCGGACGGATAATGATGTGTCCCCTTTTTCCGGGAAGCCAATCCGTCCACAGTTGACGGCAATCAATCACACCGGGCTTGGGAGATTTGGGTTTGCTGGGTTTTTGAAAGCGCAGATGCTTCACTGCTCGGTGGTCGGTGCTAATTGAAGGATTTGTTGGAAAAGGCAGTTTACAATGGGCGCATCAGGCCCACGCTTGTTATGGATGAGCGCTTGGTGTTTTTAATTGGATTCTGCCGGACCGCGATTTGACATTCAATCAGAGAGGATTTATTTTTGTTTGGATAAAGTTTAGAGTTTACGATTGAATGTATCACGTTGCTGAAGTTTGATAATTTCGAACATTTCGGCTCTCGTTTCAAATGTCTCCTTTTCTTTAGCTATTTCGTCTCAACTGAAACTTGGCACCAGCCATCAATTTAGTGTTTCTTGAGCACGTGGACAGCTATTAATTCAGAGCGTTTAAAGTGCACCCCGGTGGTTCATCAAAGTTGGTGGTTCATCAATGCACAGTAGTTGGAGATGGCAAAATCATGAACTTAATTGAATTGGGAGGACTTGATCACTTAAATATTGTCCGCAATTCTACATTTTCAATCATTTATCATGGCCTACTATGAAAAAAAATGAACAACCCAATTTTTTCCCCTAAATTGATGAAAGGATACTTTCATTGGCAAAGTTGTAGAACTATTCAACACAGCAAACTTATATTAGTTAGATATTAGTTTACTATGTTTCATAATTTTGGATATATGGTTACTATGGTTACCCCTTTAAATTTAGTTTTTAATAATTAACTTTTAACAAAATACCTTTTGCAGCAAATCATCTTGCAGACAAATATTAACAACGTAAACCATGTTTTAGCTGAAGACAGTATGTGGCTATCTGCATTTGTTGCAAAGATATAGCACTTTTTAGCTTTATTTTACACACAATTTTGATTATATACATATACGTGGTCAATGAGAATAACTCAGAGAGTCACTTCTACTCACTTGTATGATAAATTTCTAAAAACTGCAGGTACTCAGCGCTGAGTTCCTGCATTTTTTTAGAAATTTCTCCATACCTCTTAGTTGAAGTGACTCTCCCTCCCTGAGTTATTCTTATTGGCCATGTAGGGGAGAAGGTGGCAAGTCGGGACATTATATCAACTTAGACCTTGTACTACAAAGTAGTGAAGGTTTGGTTAGCGTCAATTCGTAAATGAGTGAATAAGGTCACGTGTGTTTTGTCATTTTCTTTACAAAATCTAACCAAAGTGACGTATTTGCCAATGCAAATCGTTGATAACTTTCCAAAAAAATGAGATAACAATTTGGTTGTTTGAGCCAAAATGTGCTCCATAAACATTAAACAAAATGCCTAGAACATCATGTCTAGAGCTAATCGACAATTGGGCTTTATTTTCAAAATTGCCGACGAGTTCCGTGACCCGCTATACCTCAGGTCACTCTACTGCTCGCTTGTGCGATCCTTATTGGAGTCAAGTTTAGTAACAACTGTTGTTTGGTGCCCTTTCCATGCTAGCTGGATCACTAAAATTGTATCCGTTCAACGCAAGTTTGTGAGATATGCTCTTCGTTTCCTCAACTGGCGTGACCCAACAAACTTGCCACCGTACGAGGAGCGTTGCCGTCTCCTGGGAATCGAGCCATTAGAGGTGAGACGGACGGTTACTCAAGCTATGTTCACTGGAAAGCTGCTTACGGGTGACATTGACTGTCCAATACTGCTGGCTCAGCTAAATATGTATGCCCCTGAGAGGCCTCTTCGTCAACGTCGCTTCTTGTTTTTGGAACCACGGCGCCGAAATTATACACAACACGAGCCAATTCGAGCAATCAGCCGGCAATTCAACAACTTCTTTTATATGTTCGACGTGTTTCGTCATCGCTTACTTGGCCTTTTCCGTACCGTTGACCGTAACTATTTAGTTTAAGTTTTATTCATTTAGACAATAATTGTCAGTTGAATTTTTCAATATACAAATAAACAAATAAACAAAACATACATGTTCGCACAGCATGCGTGAGGAGCCAATTCACCGTACCTGTATTTTGAATCATGGCTACATCGACGAATTTCACCACCTACACTCATAATTATTATTAATCTGAAATAGATTAAAATTTAATCCTTTTTCGGATTTATTCCTTATACACAGCGCTTAGATTTAAAAGTAATCTATAGAAGATTGAATTTATATACTAGTTTATCATAGTTTGTTAGTAAACACTTCACGCGTGAAAAATCAGTTGCTAGTTCGTTGTCGTAAACAGTCGGAACAAGAAACAAATATAAGCCGAGTAATTAGTTTTAGACGAAGAAAACCAACAATGAGATCGAGTTGGAAAAAATTGAGGAATATCGATGGACCGTCGGAGACAACGCCAAATTTTCCATATATAGTATTGATTCATTTAGAGGGCCGTTGACGATTCAATGTTCGCTCTTTCGCTGACTAAATCTTAGCTGAAAATTGTCTACAAATCGAAACGGCCGGAAAATGGAAGTATTTTTTTATTCGATGACATGGATCATAATTAACGCATTCCTGTATTCCTTGGTTCATTCTAGTCGAGTCGAACGTGTCTTGCGTCACTTCCTGTTCTGGACGTTCAGTGCCACGCAGCCAGGGGGCTACAAAGTAATTGCTACGTACTAAAACGTCCACTTCGGACACACACAAGTCTGACTAGTAGCCTGTGCGAGCTCAGCAGATCCAATCACATATCAACATTCTCCAGGAACAGTAAATCCAGTGGTTTCCAGTTGAAGGTCGAGGAAAACGAAGCACAATGATTAAGGATTTAATATAAACTTATGTAATCATCAAATTTCATTAACACATTATTCGTTGATGCTCATATACATGCAATTTTAAAAGTGAATTTGACAAGAAACAACAACAACAACCAACGAAAATACATCTTCGCTGATAAATCCCTTTAATACATCATTTGCATACTCGCTTTTTATACTTTCTCATGCATAAACCATTTTTATACTACGTTCGTATTCTCTCTCTTTATACGGATCTAATCGTCGGTCGGGAGAGTTGTGATTTAGCGTAGCTTTTAATCTATTTAGATTTGAATATCTTTTGAGTGTAGGCAAATTGGATCCTGCACTGAACCAAAACCGATCATGTGTCATCACCAGCGTTGCCAGATATACCGATTTATCGGTATTTATACCGATTTCCGAACTAGATACCGATATACAGATAAGATTCCTCAGTATACCGATGTTTGAAATTGTGTACCGATTTATACCGATTTTTTAAATGATCAAAATTATTATTGCCTACACGCGCTCGAATTTTGGAGAAAACTACTGTGAGAGACTTTTATCTTTTTGAATAACTCAAATTTTTGAGCCCTCAAAATTCTTTTAAAAAATCATATTTGAAAATGTCATATGCTTGATACTCTTTTGACTAATGTTTCCATTTCTTCGCCGTTTTTGGCTACCCATGAATCGAGAAACTGTCGATGGATCTTTCAGGTTATTCCTAGAGAATCTCGAAATACTTTTTAAATATTATTTAACTTCTTAAAGTGTTTTTTTCATTTTTTACTTAGTGAATTTTCTACCAACTTTCGTCTGGAATTGTCTTCCACCTTACACCATAACTTATTTTTCGATTCCTCCCGAGAACTTATTTCAACTTCCCTTGGAAGCTTCTTCAGCCATCACTCGAATGGTTCTTCCGTTTTCTCCTACCTGTTTTTTCAACTTCCCCTGAACTTCAGGGATGTTTCCAGATGTTTATTGTGGATTCACACTAGCTGCAGGAACTTTTAAAAAGTTTAGGAACTTCAAAAAAGTCTAGACTTTTGAGTAAGTTCCGATAAATTAAAGATAGTTTCATGAACGTCTGTTCAAATTCCAAAACCCGAAAATTTCAGGAAAGTCCAGCGAACTGCAGACTCCAAACTTCACAAGTTCAAAGAACTTCAGGGTAATTGAATGGTTTTCAGGAAAGTTTCATTTGTTTCAGGGAATTGAGAGAGCTTTAGGGAAGCTCCGTGAACATCAGAACAGATCAATTAATGTCAAGGAAATGCTGATATTTTAAAGGATTTCCGAAAAAATCAGGCAATGTTCCACAAATTTCGGAAACGTAAGGGAAGTTACATGAACATTAGAACACAGTGAGAACATTTTATTGGACATTCCGTGCTTTTTAATGGCAGTGCCAAGAAATAAAATTTTAAAAATCGGGAAATGGTACAATAAATTCAAGAAAAATGTGAAAACACTTAAGAAACTTAATAATCTTCAAGAAAGTCCAGATACCTTCAAAGATGATTATAGATATCCAGGTAGCTTCATTATAATCAGGGAAGTTCCGAGTACTTGAAGGATGATCAGAGAACTCTAAAACAGCCCCATTAGCTTCAAGAAAATTACAAGAACTTTTAAGGAATTTCGTGGAATTATGGAATATTCTTAAGTGCATTTCAGGAATGTTCCGAAAACCTCAGGGGCATTGCGGGGTCTTCAGGGATGTTTTATGAATATCAGGAAAATTTGCTGGATCATTAAAACATCTCCCAGAAATCTCTTTCTTCCAAAATTATGTCCTTGTTTCTTTCGACTGTTCCGTAGGCGCTCTGGCTTCCGGATTTCTCCAGAAGTTTCTTGCAATCTACCTTAGGAAGTGTCTGCCAGCGTCTTCAGGAAGTTTATTCCGTCTTCTTCTGGAAGTGTGTCCATAAGCCATAGGTTTTTGACTTTTATTGGAAGCCCGAGTAGCACACTTTTGTCACAATAAGATACAGCAACTTGTTTATGACTGAAATAAGTCGTATATAAGTTTCT